TGGGTGGGTGGGTGGATGGGGGTGGTAGGGGTTGTGCAATTGTTCCGCTGCGTTAATTTCAAGGCCGACTGTGGGATGACCATTACCGTGTTTCAAGCGACCACTGAAGACTACCATTGTTGGGAAAACAGGGATAGAACTTGTGGTGTACGGGGGAATGAAGTTGGAAAAGAAACGGAGGGTGTGACCTGAATTTTCGGAAAATTATTGGGGTGCATACGGAGAATTTATATTATCATTCATATTATCATTGTATTCGGTGAAATATTTTATGAAAATTGCGAAAATTTTCGTTTAGAGGCTCTTAGGGTATTTGTAGAAGAAAAATTTAAGAATAGAATGAACATTTTTCAACATTTAGCGATTATCCACGGGAACTCGATTAACTCGAATGCGTCAGAGTAATCGATTACCAATGGCTGTCGCTAGGCTCTCGTCTGGATTTTCTGCATAGGACTGGTTAATTTTTCACCCAATAATCAGGCCATTCTCCTCTGGGGGTAATTGACATCTCAATTCCGCGCTAAACTCCTTCGTCCGCATTTAATTGCCAACAAATACCCGGGGAATGAAAAATATTAATACCCGATGGAGGGTAAATAAGAATGAAAGGAAAATAATCGGTGGTAATTAACGCTGAAAATGGGGTCACCTCTTCAGGGCGGAAAAATGCGGGGGAAAATCAATTCAACGTACAATTCCATTGAAAAAATTCCGGCTCACCTTCTTTTTGGTTTTTATTAATTCACTGGTGAACACCTCGAGTGAGAGAGGAGTAGGGAAAATATTCACAGGTATTTAATTATTAAATGAACATACAAATTAATTTAATTCAATTTTTTTCCAAATTTTAACGGAATTCAGTGCCAGAAAAACACAAAATGCAATTTTTCGCGATGACACAAATTATTTAAACTAATAATACTACAAATAATTAAATAATCGATAATTTACGATATTATAGAAAATCCGTGGAAACTGTAAATTTAATTCCAGTAATTTCTCAAAAAATCATAAAAAAAACGTGAAAATTTCCCATTGAAAAATTCTCATGAAATACAGTTGCATAATTTCCGAAAATTTCGCACATAATATTGAAAAATTGAAACGAAAGTTCTATTCCCTGAAGGAGATTAGTAACCCGACAATAGCGACCGAGGGCTCCATTATATTTTCACCATCTGTGAGTGACATTTTCGCAAGCGGGTGGAATGCCAGTGGCACGTATAAGAAACTCGTGGAAAACTAGTCGGTTATACATCCCCCGCCGTTTTATCCCGTTGGGGATAGCCCAGAGGTGTGGAGGCATGGGGGGTTGAAAAACGAGGAGTAAAAGTGAGGGATGGGGTATAGAGTGGTGGGTTGGCGCTATAAAGGAAGAAATTCCCTTCGACTACAGGGGGTTCTCCCCCTTTTACTCCCCCTTTTACCCCCCCTTTTACTCCCCCTTTTACTCCCCCTTCACCCTTTGGTTCTCCGCGGGTCACGTAGTGCTCCCATCTCCAGCCGCGCGGACACCTCTCTAGGTAAACTTCAGTGAAAAGCGCCCGGGCAGCCCCTTCTGTGTACGTGAGAAAGAGGAAAGGGCGCAAAGAGAAAAGAGTTGAATAAAAAAAAAGAGGGTGAGGAAGGGGTGGGTAAAAAAATTGCAACTCGAGGCGTCCATGGAAAAGCAAACTTTCAGCAAAGCGTGACATCTCCTCCGGTTGGTTCATACGTGTGTCCGAGATCCTCTTGGGGCCTCTGGCATTGAGTTGAACAGGTATCATCAACGATTAATTAACTTTCCACGGGTTTTTTGTTTTTAGTTGTACAGCTATTCCAGGGTGTTTGATAACTCTCGTACAGACTTTATGTATCCATATGACGATAGTTTAGGGGGTTGGGGGGT